ACCAACGCTGCCTCAGGTGGACCGGAGGCTCGTGGACCGGCACTACGAGCAGCTGCGGCTGAAGCCCTTCTACCCCACGCTCGTCGCCTACATGACCTCGGGGCCGGTGGTGGCCATGGTGAGGGGACAGTTCGGGGGTCCCGGGGGGCGCAGGGGACTCAGCCGTGCGTGTCCCGCAGGTGTGGGAGGGTTACGATGTGGTGCGGTGCGCCCGGGCCATGGTTGGGGACAGCAGCGCCGGGGGGACCTCAGCGTGCACATCACCACGGCCGTGGCACTGTCCCCATCCCTGTCCCCTCCCAGGAACATGGTCCACGCCAGTGACTCCATGGAGATGGCCCAGCAGGAGATCAGCTTCTGGTTCCAGCGGGACGAGCTGGTGGCCTGGGACAGCAGGGACAGGGACAGCATCTACGGGCTCTAGGGTCAGGCCGCGGCCGGGGGGCACCCCCTGCCCCCAATAAACCCCGCTGCCTCCAGCTCTGACTTCGGTCTCCTCCCTCGGATGTCACCAGCAAGGGCTGGGAGCTCTGGGAGGCACTGGGATGTCCCCAGAGGACACTGGGGTGGTACTGGGAAGCTCTGGGATGCACTGGGATGTCCCCAGAGGACACTGGATTGGTACTGGGAAGCTCTGGGATGAACTGGGATGTCTCTAGGAGCACTGAGACAGTACTGGGAGGCTCGGGAAGCTCGAGAAGTCCCTGGGAGCACTGGAACTGTGCTGGGAGGCCCTGTGAAGAGCTGGGCCGTGCCTGGGGGGCTGCAGGGGCTCTGCAGGTGACAGGAAGAGACCAGGGTGGGGTGTGAGCTGTGAAGGTGGGGGCTCCGTGCGACACTGGGACACCGCTGGGACACCACTGGGTGGCACTGGGACACCGCTGGGACACCACTGGGTGGCACTGGGACACCACTGAGCGGTACTGGGACTCCGCTGTGACGCGCTGAGACACCGCTGGGTGGCACTGGGGGCCACTGGGACACTGCGGAAAGCGCTGGGACCTCGCTTTGAGGTACTGGGACAGCTCTGGGACGGGGGATATCACTGGAATATCACTGGGATACACTGGGATATCACTGGGATATCACTGGGATACACTGGGATACACTGGGATATCACTGGGATACACTGGGGTATCACTGGGGTATCACTGGGATATCAATGGGATATCACTGGGATACACCGGGATATCACCGGGATACACCGGGACACACCGGGACACACCGGCACACACCGGGATATCACCGGGACACACCGGGATATCACCGGGATATCACCGG